AGGGAACAGAGACAGATAGAATGGGTGAGGCGGGACTGCTACTCACAACTTCCTTGCCACTCTCCATTCACCTTCAGGACAACTTCCAAATAGCTGCGTGCCTTTGTGTGTCGAAAATACAATTTTTAAGGAAAAAAAGAATGTTATCTGGTGGAAACAGATTCAATAACAACTTGCAAAAGGGAATTGGATGGAAAAAGGAAAAATTGAAGAGGAAAAATTTAAGTTTATAGGGGGAGTGGTACTGATTGGGGAGCTCTTCCAAAGAATCGACCAAGGCACGATGGGCCGAATGGCCTCCTTCTGTGCTGTAATATACTACGATTCTGTAACTCTGGATAAACGCAGCAGCTGCGGAGAATTTCTCTCTCTCTCTCCTCAAATACTGAATGCTGCTTTCCCCCCCCATTTTGTTGCATCAGATATAACTTGCATTTAAATTGCAAAGTGCAGAGGGGAGCGTTAGCACCACGACACTCAAAGGATTCATCAAAGGGAAGGAGCAGTGGATTAAGAGAGAAGTCAGCCTTTGTACTCGGGCACTTTACAATAGCTTGAAATATTCAAAGCCTTGCAGTCTTGCAGTTTCTTTTAACTCCCTCCCATCCCTCTATCTCTTCTCTCTCTCAAATCTCTCTAGCTCTCCTCTCTTTTCCATCTCTGCATCTCTCCTCTCTCCTCACCCATCTCTCCCTTGAAGATCATGTCTGAAACTTATTAATAATAATAATAATCGTTGCATTTGATATAGCACCTTATTAAGGGAGAACCTTCAGCCACTCTGCCCCCAACCTTTGGAACTCCATCCCTCAATCACTCCGCCTCGCCCCCTCCTTAGCCTCCTTCAAGCCCACCTCAAAACTCTCCTCTTCGACCATGCCATCGGCCACCCCCTTCCCCTCCCCTCCCTTCTCCCCCCTGACCCCAGCTCAGGTCTGAAATGCTGTCCACTGTCCAGTGCCTTGGGACGTCCTCCCGATGTGAAAGGCGCTATACAGATGTAATCTTATTGTTGTTGTTATCATATTGTTTGAGACGTCTCAAAGTGCTTTCCAGAATATACTGTAAAGTGAATTGACTGTATATTTTGGGAGAAATTAAATGTGGACGAAATGAAGTAGCCAATTGCACTCAGCAGTGCCCCACAAATTGTCGTGGATTGAGTGACCAAGTGTTTTTTGGAGGGGTTATTACACCTGGAAAGCGATCCGCTAATCAACTAACAACAGGATTACTACTTCCTGCTAGGTAAGCAGAGGCGTAAGTGTGGAGTAAGGAAACTTGGTTTCTCCGCGCCCGGGTATCAAACCCAGGTCCTCTCGCTTGTGAGGTGAGTGCTGTAACCAGTATACTAAGACTAGGGCAGAGTTTCGAGCTTCTGGTGTCCAATTCATGCAGTCCAGGTAAGCAAACAGGCCATTTGGCCTAACTAGTCCATTAAACAAAAAAATGGTCATTTGCTTCACCACTGTTTGTTGGACAATGCAGTGCGCAGACAGACTGCCGCGTTCGTCTACAAATACACAGTCACTGCATTTTACAGTAAATCCCGTGAAGCACTTGCTATTATTATCCCGGTTCAGTGAGTCCGAAATGAAAAGCGTCAATTTTCATTCAGTTCGAGATTTGATATCAAAACAGCCCAGTTAGGCAGTTTCCCATTTTAATGATTTTTTTTCAATTCACCAAATGGTTCCTGAGATATGTTAAACCACGACACTGATGGTGTCAGATCCTGGAGTGAAAGCAGGATTTCATTCAGACTCTCTACACCCAATGGTTAGGAAGAGTCCAAGATTCAAGTTGGCCCCATTAAAGCAGTGACAATGTTCCACCACTAGATGACATTAGTGTGCTTTCCAGGTGTGAAGTTTGCAGCATTTGTTAAGCATGTTACCACCATCTGGTGGTAAAATAACACCGAGCTGCCATGTGGCGCATTGTTGAGTTTCCAATATGGACGCTTAAGGTCTTCCTGTTATCTCCAAATGGAATTTCACTCTTGCCCTTGCGTTAGAAGGTTGTGTGTTTAATTCCCTCATTACTGTTTGGGTCTAGAATGATACATCGTCGAGAGAGCACAACTGTGGGCTGAGTGCAGCAGCCTATTTGCGCGCAGCACTGTCCCCACAAACAACTATGGAATGAGTACCGATTTTATCTGGCCAGGAAAGAGAAACTCTCTTCTCTTTTCGAATAGCGCCATGGGATATTTAACATCCACCTGAACAGACAGACGGAAGCTCGCTTTAACATCTCATCTGAAGGTCGGCAATGCAGACAATGCAAAGCAACCCCAGTGCTGCATTGGAGTGTCAGCTTGGACTATGTGATTCCGAGTCCCGACATGGGACTTGAACCCACAATCTTCTAACTCAGGCAAGAGCACTACCACTGTGCCAGGATGACACACAGAGGTGAGCCTTACCTGGACTCCATAATAATCCCTCCAAAAAAAACAATAATAAATTGGTCATTTTCAATCCGCGACTGTTTGTGGGACATTGCTGTGCGCAATTGGCTGCCGCGTTCGCCCACAAATATACAGTCAATTCACTTTACAGTGTGTTCTGTGAAGTGCTTTGGGATGTCCTCCCGACGTGAAAAGCACTATATCAAATGCAAGGATTATTATTATTATTATTATTAGAGGTACTGAGGACCTGTTTGCTTGTTGAATTGGCCGTTTACTGCATAGCTGTGTTTCTGTAACTTTGGTCCCCACACTCGACAATCAACCGAAAAGTGCTTGGAGACGTTTCAGCGTTACAGAAGCTTTGTCAAATGCAAGGATTATTTTACTTCTGTATTAAATCCGCCCCAGAGTGTGGTTCTAGCAGCCTCCGACACGTGAAGCATTAGGCAGGCAGCACTGCCAGACGTCAGCCACTCTCTCTCTTTCTCTCTCTCTCTCGGAGCTTCAGCTCTCTGGGACTCTGGCATTCCCACAAACACGCTGTGTAATAAACTAAGTGGTGAGTGATTGCAGTGGGATTTTTTGACTGGTGGGCCTGAAGGATCAAGTTGTGGCCTTTCAGAGAAAAAAAGATTGCCCCAACTCATTGCTCTGGCACGCCATTCCATAACCTTTATGATGTGTCAAAGAGGAGTGGTACGTGTTTATGTAATGCACAGTAAATAGTGGCAAGAGGAGAAATAAATGTTAACAGGCATTGCTTCAAATTGCTACCATTAATTAAAACAAACGCTACTGCCCTCACAACTGTCTGATATGTCTCGCTGAACGCGGTGTGGTCTTAAAGGTGAGGGGTAAAGGTTTTAATCAAGGTGAGCCTGCCTCATTCAGCTCAGTTACAATGTCTTTGCAGCCTACCAAAATCTTTATACTCTGGAGTCCTGTAGCTAGGTGGTAAGCACACTCGCCTCACAAGCCAGAGGACCGGGATTTGATTTCAGGATGGGGTGAAACCTTAGGGAAGTTTTCTCACTCCACACGCCTCTGCCGTAGGAAACCGGTTGTTAGTTGATGGCGGATCACTTTCCGTGGGTAAAGGTGCTTAAAAAAAAGGAGTCCTCCTAAAGTGAAAGGCGTCATACAAATGTAATTTTGTATTGTATTGTAATAATACAAAAAAAATCTAAAATAATTGGCTGCTCAATCCACAACTGGTTGTGGGACACTGCGCTGCCATGTTTCTCCCACAATGTACATAGTCACTCCATTTTCAACATATTCTGTGAAGTGCTTTGAGATGTCTCAGTGATAGGATAGGGCGGTATGTCAAATGCAGGGGATTATTATGATATTATTCTGATCCTCCCAAATTTATACCCTTTCGAATGTTAAAACCTTCAGAAAGATGTCCCCTGCGTCTTCATGTCTCCAGCGTGACAGTGACGTACCTTTGGGGGGCACCAAACCTATAGTCTACACTGCTCAGCGAGCGAGGCTCCTAAATGTTCCCAGTAGGAAAAGTCTGGGATCCAGCTTCCTTTTGGATTGCGTAACCATTGCATCGTGTTTTTTTTTTGATGCAATTAATAGAGCAGCAAATTCCACAGCAGAGCGGTTAGTCACAGGAGACTACAAGAGAGGTTGAGTTGAAGAAGTCCATTTCGACCCCTTTGATCTCATCCTTTCAGAGCAGCAGCCCCGGATGCTTCTCATCGAACTGTTTCATCACTGAATCCGGCGTCCTGGCCTCGATCTCCCTTCCTGCAAAGCCCTTCCAGCTGTTGATTACCCTCCATGTGAAAAAAGATTACAAGAAATATTGATGTGTGAAAAGCAACGGGCAAACTCGCCAGCTATCGATGGCAAGCTATGCGGTTTTCGCTGGTTAGACACCAGCAGTGACGCCAACGCACACTCTGGCATCCCCAAGCCTTGGCTCTCGCCAACCCGCGCCTAATACTTTCCCGGCATTAGTTCCTCCCAAACGTGGCTGGCAATTGCTCAAAGCAGTGTTCTACAAACAGTCATGCATTTTTTTTGGAAGGATTATTACCCCCGGAAAGCGATCCGCCAATTAACTAACAACCGGGTTCCTACTTACTGCTAGGCAAACAGAAGAGTGCGGAGTAAAGAAACTTACCTAAGTTTCGCCCCGCCCAGAAATCAAAACCTAGTCCTCTCGCTTGTTAGGCGAGTGTATAAACCACTACGCTTCAGGACTCCACGTCTCTTGAAAGCGGAGAGGGAGCGAGCGAGCGAATGAGCGAACGAGGTAGAAGGAGGGCCTCGGGGATGGAGTTTCCAGTTGTGTTGTGCAATGTGAGGTTAATGATATTACATTTGATGTTGCACCTTACCACGTCTTCGAGACGTCTCAAAGCACTCCACAGAATATACCGAAAAGTGTAGTGACTGTGTATTTTGTGGGCGAAACGCGGTAGCCGATTGCGCACAGCAGTGTCCCACAAACAGTCGTGGATTGAGTGACCATATTATTGGTTTTTTTTGGAGGGTTTATTATCCCTGGAAAAGCGTTGCCTCCCGGTGACTGTGACTTTGGCTGTTGTTGGCTGTTGTTGGGCAGGTGCTGGTGCGGGCAGTGAGGTGGCTGTTTCCTGACTTCAGCTTCACGTGGCTGGTGGATGAAGCTAAGAAGAACTTGCCTCTGGAGCTGGACTTCCTGAACGAGGGCAGGAACGCCGAGCAAGTGGCTGACATGCTCAAACACTTCCCCTTCCTGAAGGTAGGAGCTTAACCTCTCACCGTCGGTCTGCCTGCCTCCGAGCCGACTCAGAACCTTGCTTCAAAACAATGTCATAATAATCATAATAATGATAATCATAATAATAATCCTTGCATTTGATTTAGTGCATCGTCGAGACGTCTCCAAGTGCTTCACAGGATATACTGTAAAGGGCAGTAAATGTATTTTGTGGAGTCTCGTAGCATAGCGGTTAGAGCGCTCACCTCGCAAACGAGAGGACCCGGGTTTGATTCCCAGGTGGGACAAAACCTTAGGCGAGTTTCCTTACTCCATAAGCCTCTGTTTATCTAGCAGTAAGTAGAAACTCGGTTGTTAGTCGATTAGCAGATCACTTTCTGGGGGTAATAATCCTTACCCCCCCCCCACCCCGTGCCCCAAAATGAAAATGATTTGGTCACTTAATCCACGACTGTTTGTGGGACGTGCTGTGTGCAATTGGCTGCCGCGTTTCGCTCACAAAACACACAGTCAATTCACTTTACGATCTATCCTGTGAAGCGCTTTGAGACGTCTCAACAACATGATAAGGCGCTGTATCAAATACAAGGATTATTATTATTATAAATCGTGTTGGCACTGGCTACCACCTGTTGCCTGTGTGGTGGGCACTGAGAGAGAGATTAAGAGATCTGTCTGTGTTTCCACCCCAAAGGTCCCTAAAATTCATTGGGAGTTTTCAACCAAACGTATCCTGACCATGGAGTTTGTGGAAGGCGGGCAGGTCAACGACAAGGATTACATGGAGAAAAATGACATTGATGTGAATGAGGTAAATAATATTTCTTGCCTTTGTTTGTGGGGGAAGCAGAAAGAGTCTGATAGTCTTCTGTACCGTGTTTTATTTCCTTAAGGAGCTTTCAATGGGCCTTTTTGATCAAATAATTTCGTCAAGACGGTTCAATGTGCCAATATACATTCAGTACCATAGACTCATGTATCAAAAGCAAGGATTATTATTATTGGTTAGAGCGCCCGCCTCACAGGCGAGAGGACCCAGGTTCGATCCCCAGGAGACAAAACTTTAGGCAAGTTTCCTTACTCCAGGAACCCGGTTGAGAAGAAGAAAGATGACCAAAGTTCTTTAAAGCATTTTGAGACATTCTGACGTGGATTATTATTGTTACACTTTAATTCAAAATGATATTTCAGACTGTCTGGGTAAAATTTCAGGCCACTGGAGCCATGAGGATTTGAGGCTGTACCTTTTACATCTAAAATCTTTCATGTTGCAATGTTTTTTTGAATATGTACAATATATATATATAAATACTGTGTCCAGTCTCCTGCTGGTGGCTACAAATACCTCTCAGTTGTCAGGGACAATGAGAAAAACACAGGGACTCTTGACACTAATGTGGCTCGTTGCCTAGTCAACGGGAGCCCAGCTTACCGCAGGGTGGGAAGAGCTGAGTGCCAACCTGTGTCCTGAGGTCAAAGAGCCAGCAGAAGGCACCTGGTGCTAACAGCAGGCTCCAATGGTGCAGGAACATGCACCGCGCTTCACCACCACGTTCAGAGGACTCTAGAGAATCACTGCATTTTACAGACAGAAGCCATTCAGCCATTCACACTTCATCTCATCTCTACGTGGAGTCCTGTTGGCTATTGGTTAGAGCACTCACCTCCCAAAAACCCGACCTGGGTTCGAATCCCGGCAGGGCGAAACGTTGGTCGAGTTTCCTTACTCCACCCCCGTCGGTTTACCTAGCAATAAGTAGGAACCCGGTTGTTAGTCGACTGGCGGATCGCTTTTCCAGGGGTAATAATCCCTTCAAAAAAAAATAATAATAATAATTTGGTCACTCAATCCACGACTGTTTGTGGGACACTGCTGTGCACAATCAGCCACAAAACATACTGTCACTGCACTTCACAGTAAATTCACCGAAGCACTTTGAGACGTCGTGAAGACGTGATAAGGAGCCATATCAAATGCAAGGATTATTATTATTTTTTTATTATCCAGTCACTCGCCATATTGTGGAGTCCCCGTAATGTAGTGGTTAGCACCCTCTCCTGGCAAGCCCAAGCAGAATTAGGTCAAGCGCTTTGGGACGTCCTCCTGACACACAGTCACTGCACCTCACGTTAAAATCCCGTTGACTAGGCAAAAAACCAGGTTAACGTCACAGACAGGTCAACGTTGTGATAAGACGGCAATCAAATGCACATTTATTGGGGAGGGCGGAGGGGGAGTCAGGCATTTATTTTGATCACCAGGCTTAAGAGCATGATTATTATCACACATTAAAATGGCCACTTAGGGCTTATGGCCGATGGAATTATAGTAACAATCCCCGCTGTTGATATCGCACCTACAGTGCAGAAATGTCTCAAAGCACTTCAAAGGTAATTGCTTTCAAGTGCAGAGACTGTGCAAGTGTAGGCAAAGGCGACAGCTAATTTTGCGCAGAGCAAGATTCCATGAAGAGCCATGAAATTTAACCCGTGGGATTGTTTGGCCAGAGCACCATCTCTCCTCTTATCTGATCTTTGAAGAACAAGCAGACAAGACCTCAGTTTAATGTCTCATCGGCAGGAAGGTGCCTCCAAAAATGCAGCGCACACTCTCTGCACCCCTTCCCTCCCCATAAGCACTGCATCCAAGCGTCAGTCCGGATTATGAGCCAGTCTACCTCCTGACGTGAACAAATAGAGGAAACGAGCGTGAATTGTACAGTAACTCATCCCATCAGGACAAGCTAATAATAATAATTTGGTCACTCAATCCACGATTGCTTGTGGGACGCTGCTGTGCGCAATTAGCTGCTGCGTTTTGCTCACAAACTATACAATTACTTAACTTTACAGTATATTCTGTGAAGCGCTTTGAGACGTCTCGAAAACCTGATAAGGCGCTGTATCAAATAATAATGCAAGGATTGTTATTAAAAGAAATTACTGTCAAGTGTAGTGACTTGTCTGTAGGCAAACAAGACAGATGGATCAGCAAACCTGGGCGGTTAATTCTGCCTCATGTACAATCCATCTTCCAACAAGTCGGGCTACATGCTATTTCTAAGGTTGTGTGCGATGACCCACCCATCAGGCAGGATCTATGCAGATTTGCAAGGATTATCATTAAACCTGTACTAAAGTATATTAATCTGCAGAGATTAGTGCAACGGTTTGACTGTTGTGACATTTAATCGTTGCGCAGTTGGTTTGGAGAGCGAGTGGTGTGGACTGCGTAAACAGGGCTCGCTGGTGTGAGGGCTGGTTCATCGATGCGTGTGCTGGGCCCTGATAGGGAAATGCCGCCAAAGAAAGAAGGGAGGAAAGATTTTTTTCTGGTTACCCGGGTGTCTGACACAGGCTCATCACAATGCTTAAGAGTATCCAAACCAAAAATTCTATGCTTCCCACCTACGCATGGAGATTCCAGAGGGAGTTGGAATGGACTGTTCGCGCTCTCTCCCTGGAAAGCTTCCTGCTTTTTACCTGAATTCCAGAAAGTATTAGGCGCAGGTTGGCAAGAGCCAAGGCTTGGGGGACCCCAGAGTGCGTGCTGGGGTAACTGCTGGAGTCTAACCAGCTAAACCACATCACATGCCATTGATATTGCTGCCTGGCAAGCTTTCCCGCTGCTTGTCCAGCGAGGACCACTCTACCCGTTAGGGCTTTGTCTCGAGGGTTAACAGGAGCTGAGTGGGAGGATTCCCCGCCTCCAGTGACTGGTCTGCCCTTCCAGGTCCTGCCCATGAGCCAGTCTGGGCTGTGCTGTCATCAGCTATGTCCTGGAATACTGCGGACCCAACTGGCTCAGCAACCGGACTATGGAGATCACTACAGAGGGCTGGCTCGATTCCGACGTTCTATTGCCAGACATATCACCTTGGTGCCAGTTTAGCTCTAAGGGGAGCCCTCTCCCCGCCCCAAGCTAGAGCATCAAATTGCTTTGAGAGGAATCTATCAAGCTTAACATTGATGGCACCTTGAGTTGGGAACGGTATAGGAAGAGTTAAGAATAAGACAGTGAAGGCTGAGCCCCGTTGTAATCCAGTAAGACCTTTAACAAGGGGCTGAATTACTCTATCTTTACAAGGACATCTCCGGTTACAGCCTGGCGCACGTTTTAATTGGCACTGAATAAGACAGAGAGAGAGAGAGAGAGAGAGAGAGAGGAATCATGTGTCCTGACAGATGTGAACAGTCAATTTAAAGTTCAGGCGATCAGTTACTGGATAAGTCCCGTCTTTAATGTAAAGGCGGGACAAAAGGTGAGGAGCACAAAAGAGCCAGCAGCACAGTGAGACAAAGCACTCGCTTCCAATAACCCTGCACCCAGTTTTAATTTTATCGGAACAGCAGAAAAAAATTTCCACTCCACAATTTATGTTGCACCTGTACAGAGTTCATTCGGAACAATGTGCTTTATTTACCACCTTTGCTGTGTGATCGAGTGATTATAACAGGTTGTTGCCTTCAACCTCTCTTAACCACTGGGATTTTGATCACCATTGAGATGATACCTAGAGATACATCATAATAATAATAATGTGGAGTCCTGTAGTGAATTGGTTAGAGCGTTCGTCTCAAAAGCAGGAGGATCTGAGTTTGATCCCATTCTTGGCGCTAATTACCTTACCAATCGACTACTTACTGCTAGGTGTATGGAGTAAGGAAACTTGCCTAAGGTTTCGCCTCTGCCGGGAATCAAACCTGGGTCCTCTCGCTTGCGAGGCGAGTGATCTCCTGCTACGCTACGGAACACCAAGGTTTTAAGCCACCGCAGTATTACTACAGCCGCTTTTCTAAAAGTAAGAGCTTCCAAAAAAACGCAGAGCGACAGAAGGGTTCCCGCTTGTGGTATAACCGTACAAAAAAAGACCTGTAACACCACTGTCACTGATCCCATTTGTCAAATCTAACATCTTTCTTACTTTGCAGTGAGCACACACGTCCCTCGCCAACGCCTTTCAGTGATAAGAAATGCTGGACAAAATTCAATGTCGTTTTCCAAATGGTGCTCGTTTCAAATCCACGGGGCTCGTGCAGATAATTCTGACGGGCATCACAATCCAGGGAAGATGACTCTGGGCTTGTATTCGAGTAGCAGCGACGTGATATTGCCGTGAGACATGTCACGTTTATTAAAGCTGCCTCACAGTTGCCCTGAGAGCCTTGTTTGTCTTCAGGATCACTGATGTCTGGGGTTCACAACGCCATCAATTCATGGCCTGTGAGGTCGGCTTCCAACTTATGTGGAGTCCCGTAGGGTAGCGTTTAGCGAGCTTGCCTCGCAAGCGAGAGGACCAGGGTTCGATTCCCGAGCAGGGTGAGACCTTAGGCAAGTTTCCTTACTCCACACACACGCCTCTGTTTACCCAGCAGTAAGTAGGAACCAGGTTAGGAACCAGATCGCCTTAATAATCCTTTGAAATAAAAATATTTTTTTAAAAATGTGGTCAATCCACGCTGCCACATTTCGCCCGCAAAATATACAGTCAATCCACTTTAAAATATACTATGCGAAAGATGTCTCAATGACGTCACAAGGCGCTATATCAAATGCAAGGATTCTTATTCTTATTATATTATCAGCAGTGCGTTTACACAGTTCCCTTCACGTGGGGCAGCGTCTCAGAACGCTTATTTCATATTTCATACTGAAAAGGATTATCGTTTGTAGCTGAGAACAGACTCAAACAAATAAAACTTGAGGCTTGACATTGCTTTTTGACGTTAAGTCATGTTAATCCTCACTGTGCTGGAAACCCAGTTAATTAGTCAGCAATTTGTTAAGCCTTCCCCCCACCCCCCCTTAAATAGCATCAATTACTACATTATTTGTACTGTGTTTACTTTGTCGAAGAAAGAGATCAGCTAACATCAGGACAATATATCAGATTTAATGATGCTTTGGTAGTAAAGTCTAATTAGATTTTACAGACTTTAAAGCTGCCTGCAAACAAAGAAGGAAAATGTTTCAAGGGCATGGCATCCTATTGCAGGGAGCAGAGACTGCACCCTCACCAACCCCGTTTGACTGTGCTTTTGGTCATCTTCCCCCCCCCCACCCCATCGGCCCTTGGCTCCTTTTAGCCAGTATTCTTTATCCAAGCAATACTCAGTGATTGAAATAGGGTTGTCAAGCAGGGGGGGTTGAGGCCAGGAGACTGGGAACTCATTTAAAAAATACACAGCTCAAAGTTTTGACGGGAAGGCAATAGTAAGATATTCTGATAGGAGAATATAATAATAATAATATTTGCATTTGATAAAGCGCCTTATCACATCGTGGAGACTTTTCGAATGCAAGGGTTGTTAGGATTATTATTAAACCTGAAATGGGAAGAGTGCTGAGTCAGCATGAACTGGAGCGGTCAAAGACACGTTTCACCCTGGAGTTCAGTGTTCCTACGCCATAGTTTAGAATTTACCCGATTTGATTCCTCAAAGGAAATCGAGGTGCAAATTGCGATGCCTGGGTGTGTTACCAACAACAACAAATTGCATTTTTACAGCCCCTTTCACATCGGGAGGACATCCCAATGATCTCCTCCTCTTTCTGCTTCCTTAAGTTGATGGTGGTCTTGCAGTTGCACCACTTCGAGACAGTAGGTCAGGGGAAACCACGTGTAAAGCGAGTTGCCAGTTGTGACAAAGAGTGTGTAAGTGGGTGAACACTGATTTCCCCCACAAAATGTAGTTAATTCACTTCACAGTATATTTTGTGGAGTCCTGTAGCTCAGTGGTTAGAGCACTCACTTTGCAGTGAGAGACCTGAGTTTAATTCCAGGCAAGTCAGGGCGAAACCTTGGGCAAGTTTCCTTACTCCACACAGAGCCTAATAATAATCCCTCCAAAACAATAATAAATTGGTCATTTTCAATCCATGACTGTTTGTGGGACACTGCTGTGCGCAATTGGCTGCCACGTTCGCCCACAAATATACAGTCAATTCACTTTACAGTATATTCTATGAAGCGCTTTGAGACGTCTAGAAGACGTGATAAGGCGATTATTTATTATTATTGATAAGTGGATGAAGACAGAGGGAAGTACAGTGACCATTACACATATAATGAACAAAATGTGTTGCTAGTATGTCTCTTCCTATGTCCCTGTGTTGCTATGTCACTGTGTTCCTGTGTTGCTCTATCCCTGTGTCCTTGTGTTGCTATGTTCCTGTGCTGCTATATCCCTGTGTTTCTGTAATGTTTCTATGTGCAGGTCTCCTTGCAGCTTCAACTCAGACCGCCTTAACCCCAGTGTTTTCAAAGCTGTGATTTCTGACAACATCAGCTGACCTTGTCCTCTAAATCCCTTTGAAAACCAATTACTGTGCAGCACAGCCCCAGACAAACCTTTTAATACAAATACACTAAGCCATGTTGGACTCAACTAAGACTTGGCTCTCATCAAACATTTGCACAGAGTATAAAATACATGGAATTATATTACTGTTAAAGACAGAAATGGGAAAGTTCACAATAAAAAAAGAGAGAGGAAAGGCATTCTGTGTGGTACATCAGAAGACAAATAAAAATAATAATTATAATCCTCGCATTTGTCATAGTGTCTTATCACTGAGGGTAATAATTCCTTAAATTTTTTTAAAAAAATAATAATAATAATAAAAATAATAAATTGGTCACACAATCCGCGACTGTTTGTGGCACACTGTTGTGCACAATTAGCTGCTGTGTTTCGTCCACAAAATATACAGTCAATTCACTTTACAGTGTGTTCTGTAAAGCGCTTTGAGACGTCTCGAAGATGTGATAAGGCGCTTTACCAAATGCAAGGATTATGATTATTATCATCACGTCGTTGAGACGTCGCAAAGCACTTCACAGAAAATATTGCAAAGTGAATTGACCATGTATTTTGTGGGCGGAAAGCGGCAGTGAATTGTGCACAGCAGCGTCCCACAAACAGTCGTGGATTGAGTATAACGAGAAATGCAGAGTTAGAAGGCCAGTTGGCTCAATTGATCTCATTCCTTCTCAGTTAAATACCCACCCAACAGTCTTCCCATTACAGCATCACATTGTTTCTTAAATGAGTGCAGGGTCACCGTTCCTCGTAGCCGGTTACTAGTCGCTGATTACCTTCTGTGAAAAGCAATGCTCCCTCGTGTGTATGGCTGTTCTAAAAGTGTCTATCACAATGCCAAACCTGTGCTCTCTCGCCCTTCTATCTTGGTATTTCAGAATTTTTTGTTCTGGTTTATTTTCTATGATTGTTGTTTCCTCGCTCTCATATATATTATATATATATATATCTATTGCACACTTTCTGGTCCATCTCTACCAAAGCTGTTTTTTTTTCTCTCTTCACATTCCTCTATCTTCCTGATAATTTGCTCAATCCACAACTGTTTGTGGGGACCCTGCTGTGTGCAATTGGCTGCTGTTTTTCACCCACAAAATATACAGTCAATTCACTTTACAGTATATCCTGTGAAGCGCTTTAAGACATCTCAATGGCATGATAAGGCGCCGTCTCAATACAAAGATTATTATGTTCATCCCATGTCAATCCCGTGTTTGTGCATTTCGCCCACCAATATACAGTCAATTCACTTTACAGTCTATTCTGTGAAGCGCTTTGAGACGTCTAGAAGACGTGAAAAGCGCTATATCAAATCAAATGCAAGGATTATTATTATTATTGTTGTGCGGTGGCAGGGAAGGAATCATTTTCAAATAGGAACTCAAGTCGAGTTTAAAAAGCGCTGACTCTTAAGCACAAATTTGCTGGTCATGACATTGCCTAAAGTTAAGGGCCAGAGGTGTCAGTCCTGCCTCTCCTCAGTGCTTCTCAGTGTTAATTAGGGGTTCTGCTGATGCACAGTGCCTTGTGGTGATGGACGGTGATAATGGGCAAAGTCACAGGAGTGATTCGAGTGTGGGCATCCTTCCAGCCACGCTTGCTTTGGAGAATGGTTCTTCCTTTCCGTTGCTATTTGCCTTGTCGCTGTTCCCTCACATATCCCGTCGTCCCCGCTCACGTATTGGTGTCACCGACTCGATGGTCCAAGTCAAGCACTGACATGGTTCTCGTGAAGGCCCAGCTGATAAAATCATGGCTCAGTGTGGATCGGAAGCCCTAGTCTGCTCTCCCTCCCTGTGGTAGCTCAGTACTTAGAATACTCGCCTCGCAACGTGTGAGGACCTGGGATCGATTCCCGGGCAGGGCGAAACCTTAGACAAGTTTCCTTACTCCACATGCCTCTGTTTACCTAGCTGTAAGTAAGAACCTGTGGAGTCTTGTAGCTCAGTGGTTAAGGCACTCGCCTTGCCAGTGAGACACCTGGGTTCAATTCCAGGCAGGGCGAAACCTTGGGCAGGTTTCCTTACTCCACTCAGAGCCTAATAATAATCCCTCCAGAAAACAAAACAATAATAAATTGGTCATTCTCAATCCACGACTGTTGGTGGGACGCTGCTGTGCGCAATTGACTGCCGCGTTTCGCCCACAAATATAGGTCAATTCACTTTACAGTGAAGCACTTTGAGACGTCGAGAAGACGTGAAAAGCGCTATATCAAATGCAAGGATTATTATAACCTGGTTGTTAGTCATTTGGCGGGTCGCTTTCTGGAGTAATAAACCCTCCAAAAATAAAATTGTTCACTCATTCCAAATTGTTTATGGGACACTACTGTGCGCAATTGGCTGCCAGGTTTCACCTACAAAATACACGTCACTCCACTTTAAAGTATATCCTGTGAAGGGCTTTGAGACATCTCAACGATATGATGAGGCGCTATATCAAATGCAAGGATTATTATCATCATTAATTCTCATCTCAGGTAGTTTGAATGGTTGAAATTGACTCCAGCGTCACTGGCTCATTTAGGCTTCCTGCTTCCAATAACTGTCCACTGTGCTTGGCACTTTACCTGCCTCAGAAGGTTGACGTCTAAGTCATGCTCCCAACTTGCAGTCAGTCTAGGCTGATGCTCTCAGTTTAGAGCTTGCAGGACGGTTACATTGTCGGAGATGCTGATCATCAGATGAGACGTTAAACCGAGGTCCCGTCTGCCTGTTCTTTGAGCAGACGTTAAAAATCTCACTGGACTATTGGAAAAGAGAAGGCAAGTTTCCCCTGGTGTCCTGCCCAGCGATCCTCCAGATAAACCTGGTCACTCACAAGATTAGTTTGGGTGAAAACAACTCTTTGGGCCTTCTGATCTCATCCCATCTTCTCATTAGAGCATCAGGCTGCTGTTTAAATGAATCCCAGTGTCTAGGCCTCAACCTCAATTACCATCAAGTCAACCGCATGGCTGTTTTGTGGAACATTGCCGTGTGTAAAATGGATGCCTACAAAAATAGCTGCTGCATTGCTGTCACTGAGCTTTCTTTCTTCACTTTTATATGCTTTTTTGCAGATCTCCCGGAACCTGGGCAAGATGTACAGTGAAATGATCTTTGTCAATGGCTTTGTGCATTGTGACCCACACCCGGGCAACGTGCTGGTGAGAAAGAGCAGGGCAACCAAGAGATCCCAAATTGTGCTTTTGGACCATGGATTATATCAGGCAAGTCTCACATTTACATGCATATCAGTCACAAGCTGATCCACAGTCAACTGGGTTAAGAACCTGCTCCGGGGGTGAATGTCAGATCACAGGCTAAGTCACTAGCACTCTCTCCCCTGAGTTCGAAGGTTGTGGGTTTAAGCCCCCACCTGGGGACCTTGACCTCACGAGTCTAGGTTGACGTTCCAGTGATTACTGATAATCCTTGCATTTGATATAACGTCTTATAAATAATTAAATATAATAATAATAAATTGGTCACTTCAATCCACGACTATTTGTGGGACGCTGCCTTGCGCAATTGGCTACTGTGTTTCACCCACAAAATATATTGACTGTATATTTTGTGGGTGAAACACGGCAGCCGATTGCACACGGCAGCCGATTGCACACAGCAGCGTCCCACAAACAGTTTTTTTTTAAATTTATATTTATTCAATTATTTTTGAAGAGATTATTACCTCCGGAAAGAGATCCGCCAATCGACTAACAACCAAGTTCCTACTTACTGCTATGTAAACAGAGGCATGTGGAGTAAGGAAACTTGCCTATGGTTTTGCTCCGCCTGGGAATTGAACCCAGGTCCTCTCGCTTGCGAGGGGAACGTTCTAACCATTACGCCACGAATGGAGTGTGGTGGCAAGTACGTTGGCTGTGTAGCTGCTCCTTGGCTTACTTAGCCTGCAGCAGAGACGCTGGTTGTGGAGAGAGAGGGAGAAGAGGACGTCATCTCAAAAGTGAGATTCAAATTGACAGCCACTGCGCGCTCAGCCACACGCTCTCCCCATCATTGCTATGTCGCGCAGTGCACAGTGCTTTTATGGATAAACCCAGCAACGGCCAAGAGGTCACCAATGCGCTGTCAGGTCACCAGCCCTACATCTACAAGAGAGTAATAGGTAATGACAAGCCTCCTGACACACACTAAAGTACAGGCTCGGCTACCACTAACAGAAGCAGGGGAGGGGAGGGGAAGGAAGAGCTTTGGCAGTAAGGAAAGCCACATTGGGCTGCTGAGTTCTGCGCAGTGTGGCATCCTGTGGCCAATTGGTTAGAGCACTCGCCTTGCAAGCAAGCAAGAGACCTGAGTTCGATTCCTTAGGCAAGTTTCCTTACTCCACACTCCACTGCTTACCCGGCAGTAATTAGGAACCCGGTTGTTAGTCGATTGGCGGATTGCTTTCTGGGGTTCTCTCTTCTCCCCAAAAATGTAGTCACTCAATCCATGACTGTTTGTGGGACACTGCTGTGTACAACTGGCTGCTGCGTTTCGCCCACAACATATACAGTGAAACCACTTTACAGTATATCCTGTGAAACACTTTGAGAGGCTTTGACGACGTGATTAGGCACTGTATCGAATGCAAGGATTATTAATATTATATTTTGTTCATAAATTTAAGCGGTTCATTCTGTAGCTGTTTACGGGATGTTTCTGTACACACATCAGCTGCTGCATTTACCTACAAATAGAACAGTGAGAATCTTTGAGACTGTTTGACAATGTGACATGGCACTGCATCAAATGCAAGGGATTATTTATGATACAATTGATCCTGTTGTCTCCGCAGTTAATGACTCTTTTCTGTGTGTGTCCAGACTCTGGAAGAGGAATTTCGCCTGAACTATTGCCACCTGTGGCGTTCCCTGATTCAAGCTGATATGAAAAAGATTGAGAAGTACAGCCGGGATCTGGGAGCCGGAGACCTGTTTCCCCTCTTCGCCTGCATGGTGTCTGCCAGGTCCTGGAGCTCCATAACCAAAGGTATCGACCAGATACCTGTGACCAAGAAAGAGGTGAGCAACCATCTCAACCACCTCATATCTGTGTCCAACGACAAGGTGTGAGGCAATAATTGTGAGGATTCCTGTTGTATTTTGCTGCCCATATACTCACCCGCACTAACCTCCTTAACGCCAGTCCTCGCCAGCCAATTTTGCACACAGCAAAATTCACACAAACAACCATGCAGTGAGGGACTGGTTTTATTTGGCCAGGACACCGGGAGAGAGAAACTCCTTTCTCTTTTTGAACAGCGACATGGGATCTTTGAAGTCCGCCTGAACAGGCAGAACTCAGTTTAACATCTCGTCCAAAGGACGACACCTGACGATACAACATTCCCCCCAACAATCCTGAAGATCAATCTATTCGTCACCTGCTGTAAGAGGTGAGATGTTAAATGAGAATGAGACGTTAAACCAACTTCCCGTCTGCCTGTTCAGGTGGATGTTAAAGATCGTCATATCGCCATTGGAAAAGAGAAATGGGTTTCTCCTGGAGTCCTGGACAATAATCTTCCAGATAAACTGGTCAATCACCTAACGGCGAACTATGGGACGTCAATGGTGCAAAATAGCTGCTTCATTCATACTCCCTACAAATACACTGTCCCTGCAATTGACAGTGACCTGACACATTTTGATGCAATAGGGCAATCTATCAAAGGCAAGAAATTATTATTATTATTATTATTATTATGACCGTTATATCTTGGAAACTTCAATGATGTAATCGTATTCTGAGCAGGGTTGCAGCTGTTTGCAGTGAGTGCGTAGATGCGAGGGAGCATGCGTCTGTGCGTAGGGGGAATGGTGGGAGGGGTTGAGGGATGTACGTGATGGTTGTATGTGTCCGTGTACTTGGTTGACTTTGCAGTCGGGAGGGCAGAGCATTATTTCAATCAGATTAAAGGCACCATTAACCAGCCTGTGACGTGGGGGCAGTCTCTCAGTACATCAGGTGACTGATGAACGGATCTATTTTAGGAGCTTTAAGAAGAAAAAAACACCACATTTTTAAAAAAAACACCCTATTACGGCACTTTGCGCTATCCTGTGTCGAGCCAGGAGCCGGTGCGTGGCATTAGGGAGAGGGATTTGTGGCTGCGTTCTCATTCCGTCCTTGTTTCTCCTGCGTTTTAAGTAATTAGATTCAGTTCAGCCTAGGCAGTCGCAGGGAAGCTGAACCGGCCGATTAGCCCTGCCGTTTAACCCCCTCCCCTTCAGGACTCAGCGATCTGAGAAATCACTGGGCTAGACCTCGCCGCTCAGTGCGTTGTGTCAGCGACAACACCACCACCCCTGCCACCCATCCTCTCCCTTTCCCCCCCCCACCCCCCTCCTCCATGTCATTGTCACACTCCGGCCCTCCCTAAAGAATTTTGTCGGAAAATGTCGTTCGTTATAATGAGACACAATGATGACGAATATCCTGTTGAGCTTTTCTCTTTGTCTCATTTCTGTGGGATTTTTTATAAGAATAATAATAGTCCTTGGATTTGATAATAATGGTGATAAGAATAATCCTTATTTTTGGTCTAGCTCCTCATCGTGTCGTTGGGACTAAATCGAGTGTGGCTTTAGGATTATATATATTTTTAATTTCCCTGTCCCTCTCTTATTAATGGATCCACAATTCAGTCATTAAGTGGGAATTGGATAAATACTTGAGAAAGAATAAGATTATGTTAAAGGCGGGATTCTGACTGACAAAGTCACCAATGATGTCCTCTCGATCTGCTTCCTTCAACTTAATGTCGATAAATTCAAAGTGATTTTGTGGTGCATTACTGTACAGCCCCGCATCTGACTGAATGTATCGACCTCCCTGAACTGCTCACTCCAGCTCACACATCCCGTGAGATCTCCACATTTCGATTGACCCTCAGTTCTTTTCATCAGTCCTTGTCCAAGACAGTTTTCTTCATCTCTCCAACACCAGCCACCTCTACCTCCCTATCTCACTTCATCCAGGCCGGTGTCACCTCCAGACTTGATTTCTCCAATGCTCTCCTCCTCCCACTCATTCCTTCTACATTATTGCATCTTACAAAAGGGAATTTGATATTGGATTAAAAGAGTCACAAGCCTGTGGAGTGAGAGCAAGGGAGTGGGAATAGTTGGTAGCTCTTTCAAAGAGCCAGCACAGACACGATGGGCCGAATGGCCTCCTTCTGTCTGTAGGATTCTATGGTTCTATGATTCTAGAACTTTATCCTTCTCTATTCCAGACTCCGCGCTCCCATCACTGCCATCCTCATAGCTCCCTCCTGGCTCCCTATTCTACTGGCTCCTGTGGTTCCGTGTCTGTGAGGTACTTGAGATGCTTTCCTATATGAAAGGTGCTATTATAAATGTTCCATGGGGAAGGAGTAGGGGAATCGGATTAGACTCAATAGGTCCTATACAACTAATACAGCCAGAACAATTACATTGATGGAATGAGGAGAGGATTGGGATCCCAGGTGGCAGTGGGCGGGGTGGAGGAGGGAGAACAGGTAGTGAGTGAGCACCACTATGGACACAGTGAAGAAAGAGCAGCGGAATGGAATTAAATAAAGAGCTCCAGTGGGGCGTTGACAGTCCCGATGGGGACAGAGCAGGGGAATAGATAGCTGAAGTGAGGAAGGTAGCAGTAACCCAAACAGAGAGGCCCAATCAACCTTCTGTGCAGTAAACTCTCTGTGATCCCACAAAGCTTGACTCGTTGCGAAATGTTTTCCTTCCTCATCCACTGTGGGATAATGAGGATCGGACATAAACAGGATAGGGAGATAAAAGGGTTTGAACGAACAACGACATCACCAGTTTGGACATGATTCACAGCTGGTGTTTGCTAGGCATTAATAATGCACGTAACACAGACTTGTCAAAGATTTATGGACTGGTCACAGCTTTAAATTTACAGGTTTGCTAAAATTCACTACTCCGCCGATATAATTGAATAAGTTAAATATTTACTGAAAATGATACCTTTTCTGCGGCCCCTCTCTCTTTCTCTCTCTCACACCCCGGACTGTAATTTGGGGTAACTTGTTAATAGGATCTCTCGTGTGGCAGCCTGGCTCAGTTGGTAGCCCTCTCATGTCTGAGTCAGAAGGTTGTAGGCTCAAGCCCAATACCAGGACTTTGAGCTCACAAAGTCCGCTGTGTTGCTGGACGTGCCGTGTGCTCCGGATGAGATGTTAAATCTTGGCTCCCCTGCCTGTTCAGGTGGATGTTAAAGATCTCCTGGTGTCCTGGCCAACAACCCCCCCCCAAATAAATATTGGTTAGTTGTAGGACATTGCTGTGCACAAATCAGCTGCCACATTCGCCAACAAAATATACAGTTCATATTTACAGTAAAATCATGTGAGACGTCCGGCTGACATGAAAGGCGCTGTATCAACTCTTAAGAATTATTATTGTTGGTACTAGTGTCCACTTGTGTCCTAATCTCTCCCTGTGTTCCTGACAAAAGCTGATTTTACACTGATTCATATTAAACTGTGTTTGCCACTATTCGGCCCAGTTAGTTAAAAATTGAATCAAGCCGAATTCTTCCCCGATATTATTTTCGCCTCCTGTGCTGGTGGCATCGAACTGCAGAGCGTGCACTATAATGCGGTCAGTAGTAGATAACTAGGTCGTTTCCCCAGTATTATAGAGCATAATCTGGGTTCCAGGCGATACTTGGCCCCTCGAGCCTCACTGCAATAATGTTAAGTAACATAATGTTTGAACGACCTCATGTTAAGAGGGAACGAGCTGGTGATTTGACAAAGATGTCTACGCTTGGGCCGCCCCTTAGGCTTAATAGTTCCCATGTAATTGCCTTTGAAAAAAAGACATACCCACATGGATAAGACAACGTTAATTTGTTGACAGATAAACTGCACCACAAGGCAACGGGCCTCTTATGAGTGACGTTAATGAGTTAAGACCACCTCTCAAAGCCAGTCAGGAACCTCGGCGTTTTGTTCGACCCTGAGCTGTCCTTTCTCCCTCACATCCGCACCACAACTGGCACCGCCTTCCATCACCTCCGGAACATCGCCAGACTACGCCATTACCTCACCCCTCACGCTGCTGAAACCCTGGTCCACGCCTTTGTCACCTCAAGGCTGGACTATGGGAACTCTCTCCTCGCCGGCCTTCCCGCCACCTCCCTCCACACTGCAGGTCATTCAGAACTCTGCAGCTCGTGTACTGTCCTGCACCAGACACCGCGACCACATCACTCCCACCCTCGCCCTCGCTCTCGCTCACCTCCACTGGCTCCCCATCCCCCAGAGGATTGATTTCAAGATCCTCATCCTCACCTACAAGCCATTCACGGCCTCGCTCCCTCCTACCTCTCCGACCTACTATCCCCCTACCTACCTGCCCGTACCCTCCGTTCCTCCGGCTCCGGTCTGCTCCACGTCCCCCACCCCAATCGCCCTACCATCGGTGGTCGGGCCTTCAGCCTCTCAGCCCCGAGGCTCTGGAACTCTATCCCCCAGTGTCTTCGCCGCTTCCTCCCTCTCCTCCTTCAAGGCCGGTTTCAAGACCTTTCTCTTTGACCGAGCCTTCAGCTCCCCTCTCAACTCTCTACCCCCTCCTCGCTCCCTCCCTTCCCTCACCCTGACCATTTCCCCCCTGCTCGGGTCATGACCCAACTGTGCAGCGCCTTGGGACGTCCTCCTGACGTGAAAGGCGCTTTATAAATGGAATCTTGTTGTTGTTGTTGTTGTTGTTGTTAGAGGTCAATTGCAGAGACACACTTGACACTGCTCTTTCCTGATTCTTTCGTCCTTTAGTCATTTCTTTTGGCTGGTGGCACATCCAGAGTCCTAACGTTCCTCCTCAACCCTCCGTAAGGTCCACATCATACAGAACAATCCACTGCTCATGTTTGTGAGGACACTGCTGGACGCAATTGGCTGCCGCGTTTCACCCACAAAATACACAGTCATTACCCTTAACAGTGTATCCTGTGAAGCACTTTGAGACGTCTCAACAACTTGATAAGGCACTATATCAAATGTAAG